GAGGGATATAAGCATGTGAAGTATGCAAGCACCCGTGCGAGGTTCGAACTTGGAAACAAACTGCCCCACCTCTCCCCCCCTTGTTCGGACCGCCGCTCGCGAAAACGCCGAAGTCGAACTTGAGGACCCTAACATTGAAAATAATAATCATTTGGAAATCATTTCACCTCGAACAAATTGGGAATGAAATCTACTCTGACATCAATATAGTACTTGCATATTTGAAATAAATCACAATGCGAAAAAAATTATGATTATTTTGGCTTTAAGGATGCCGGGAGGTAATTCCTCCGATGACCCCTTTCGGGCGTATTTTGCCTACCATGACCTCTCGGTGCAAATCCCTGAAATGACCCCAAGGCCTGCCCTAAGCAACCACGGACCTTCCAATTAACGAAGGTGGTGGTAGCAGTTCAAGATGCGCTAGGGTCCGGTCTCTTCGTGCCGGTGTATAAAGCATGTTCTGACAATTAATTCGCAAGTCTTTGTTTTTTTTTTGATTAGTTATGTTACAGTATATAAATTAATTCTGCATGGATGCCTCTAATAAGAATTCACCGATTTTCACCAACGTAAACATAGGTGAGGAAACACCGCACTTTTACGGCAAGGCAATGAATTTTGCAGCAGTTATTGAAAATAATAGATACCATACACAATGCCAACCAGCTTGTTTTTAAAAAAGGTCTGTTCTGATAGCAAAACATTCACAAAACGCATCGTTGGATTCACCGGAGACACGTGCTTCTATTACCACAGCCACTGCTTTCCTTATTTGGTTTCTTAGGGGCGGCATTTGGGGTCATTTCAGGGATTTGCGCCCGAGGGGTCGAAAGGGGTCATCGGGAGGAATTACCTCGAATTGGGACCGAGGATGTATAAGGAGAGGCGGCGGGCGCTTGGGACACAGCCATTTTCCAACTCGATCGTCCATGTATACCCGACCTGGGATAAAAGCACGGTCCTGTCATGCTCCATCTTTCTTCTTTCCACTCCGGACAAACATGCCCCGAACTCTTCCAGATCCATCTCTAAACGGTTCTTCGCATGAGTAAGCTCTCGGATGACACCGGCCTCTTGCCTCGGACACCGCGACGCATGCCGACCTTATTGCTCACATCAAAAGGCAAAACATACCCGGACTTCGCGTACAGGATATCTTGCGAGATGCTGTGGGGCCTCCCTGAGCGGCGGCAAGCTGTATCTCCGACACTCCTCATTTGGCTCCTATTTTTCTCTGGCGACCGGTGGCACTTCTTGACGGGGATCTCCGCGTGCATGATCAGTTGGGGTAACTATTTTTGAGTCAAAGCAGCGAGACAGAACGTTTACCTGGCCTTATACAAAATCATTTTTACTCATAGGGCGCATCAGTCGGATCCTGCCAGCACTTCTTCACATTGTCGCCGAACTTGGTAGCTCTGGCAACACGCTCAGTGGTCTTTGCTCATGATAACCATCTCGGCTTCCGCTCTGAACGGTGCGCGCGGACCGGATGCACACACCCTGATGCGCCTAGGCTCCAATTCGACGAGGTCGACTGTCATCAATGGTTATGCGATGTTGGACGAACGCGTTCCCATATAACCGCTCACGATCCTTCTCTCGGAAATGACCTTGTGTAACCACGAAGGCAGTGCCTATGCCGAGGCAGCCGAAAGTAAACAGACACGAGTCATAAGTCTGATGCACCGCCACGTAGGGTTCTTCAACCAGTAATATCTGTGGTTGCTAGGCTTCCTTCCATTTATGATCTTCCATAATCAGACGCTGTACGCATCCATCGGTGTCGGATTTGATCCGAACACCGACTTGGCCTTCTTGGAAAACAGGCTGCGCCCTGTCCTGGCGAGGATTTGAATGGCCAGGGACGCTGACTAAATGCCAGCGTCTCTTTCTCTTCAACTGTCTTACCACCACCTCGGGCTTTTCGAGGACATATACCACAGGTGGCTACCACTGACTATACCCCATTGGAAATGGCGGAGGTCCTTCACTCCGAGGATGGCAGCAAATTGGAAGTTGGAACTCGTACTCCCAAGTTGGAGAACGAGATCAATGGCGAAGAGTAAGCTGGCGGCAGCTGGAGGCGGACACGAACAAGCGCTGACCATTGTCAGGGTGGAATACTTGAACGTAGCTGGTCCGCTCTTACCATTGCTTGCCCAGCAGGGCCCTCAGGAGGGTAAAGAAAAGGGTGAGGTTTTGTGAGTCTCCTCAGCCCGCTCATGTCTGGTTTCTCAAACGGATTGTAGGTGGGTAGCAGAATTCCAGCGCGCCACGGAGTATCTCAATCTGCTGTATGACTTGGCGATCTCTTCCGTGCTTTCTGTCTTTGGTAACAACCACCACATCCTGAACGGAGCGTCCATCGCGGCTTATTTCTCGTATTTTCTCATCATCTGTACGGTCAACTGCCTTTCCAAGAAATCCAGACATACTGATGTATTCGGTTCAGGGTGGGTATGGGCCAGTCAAGTGGTCTACGACAGCCGCTTTCAAGCCAATGATTGGATACATCGACTGTTCAAGTTTCTTCAGCTTGGCGCCTTCACTTACATCGGCGTCTTTGCTCAAAACTTTGACCCGTCGAATGTCATTGCGCCGCCAGATTCCTCATCGTCCAGTTCAATCGCACAATACCAGAGCGCAAAGGCCTGGAAAGGGGCAGCTATCGCGTATGCTCTCAGCCGACTTCTTCTTTCTTTCCAGTACTTTTATGGTGCGTACCTCTCAGAGGCCCTATCCGACCACTTGACTCACAAACTCCATACAGTTGCCCTCATCACACAAGCACCTGAGCGTCGGAAACGGTGGGATTCATTTGTCATCCCTATCGTCACCACTCTGTTGTCTGCCACGTGAGCGCATATGAAGTATGATGATCACGTAACTAACAACTACATACCCAGGTTTTGGCTTATATCAGGGCTCCTGACCTTGAGCAGCGCCGCCAAACTAGTACTTGGATACGGCGGTCTGGTCATCGAAGTCGTCGTTACAATCGCTGCATCAACTCGTGAAAGTGCTATTGCACCTTCATCCGGCATGCTCGGAGGCCGATTCGCCGACTTGACATTGGTTATTCTTGCTGAAGGTGTTCTCAGCATTGTTACTACCTTAGCCGAGGTGGTGTCTGGATTCGGCTTGAACTCTGGAGGATCTAAGCTGAATGGATGTGAGGCGTACTTTCAGCTGTCATATATAGAAAGCTCACATTATTTCGTAGATTCAGAATGCATTAGCTCACTCGTTGTTGTCTTCGGCACCTGGCATTTCATATTTCACGCATTCGACCACGAACAACGGTTCCGAAACCGACGGACGAGTCTTGTTTGGGCCTTTCTGCACTTGCCCCTTCATTTCGTCATTTTGCTGCTATTGTTATCTTTAAACGGGGTGGCAGTTTATGGGAACATTGACGGTGGTGTTACCGTACTCACCAATGATTTCGTTCAATTTCTCGACCAAGTCGGTCTAGTGTCGACATCATCTCTCGACGGACTACTTACCAATAACGTACTGCTCCAATTCAACAAGCTGGGGTTGTCTCCACCAGTGAAGGATGAGCTGGACAGGGTCAATCAACAAGCCATCAACTTGGATTTCTACATCAATACGACTGGTGTGCCACCCCCTGCGTTTGATCCATTTGTGGAGCAGTTGACATACTTCTCCTATGTAATGTGGACTGCCGCCCAGGTATGCGCATACCCTGAGTTGCTGTATCGATTTTCTAATTTTCGTGCTAGAGTTACAGTATAAACCTTGGACCAAATACCACCGATCTCTATAACCAGCTGTCTGCAACGAGTTCGGACTGGAATGGGACCGATCAAGACATGGTCAATTTGGAAACTTCCACGAACACCACATACATGCAATTCTGCTTTTCTTACACGGTCGATATAGCTGCCCCGGCGCAGTTATTCTTACCGTCCGCGGTCCGTCATTCCTTGTCGTGAAAGGTTTCATTCTGATATTTCATTCAGGGAGCGCTCATAATTCTGGCGGCGCTGCTCACCGTTTTTCGAACCTACGGCATCCCTGACGAAGAAGAGAAAACATCTCAGTTGTGGGATGTAAGCGGTCAGATCCGGAGCATCGGAAGAGCGGACATCATCCCTATCTATCCCAAGTTGGCAAGAGCGCCACGCAAGTGGCAGGTTGTTGTTGGTATGTTCCTGTTTGATCCCAAAGTCATAACATATTTATCATCCTTCTTCAGCCGTATGGGACTGGCTGCCGTTCACCTTACACATGATCGTCGGGATTGTGCTCTGCGTCCTGGCGGCCTTGGACATCCCCCTAAACTTGCTGAGCAGCCCAATAGATAGCTTGCTCAATGTGGGATGGGTCTGTACGTGTCAAATCCAGTATCCCATCATTCAATACTGACATCTGTTCTTGAAGTACCCCTGGTCGCCATCAGTTACGGAGGCCTAATGGTTCTGGACTGCGTAAGTACTGGTAACAATATTCATCAGACCGCATCGCTGATTGGTTCCATCAGATCGTGCTTGTGCTTGCTCGTAAAGCTCGTGGAGGGAGATTCATACACAGGATCCACGAAAAGGAAGAATAATGGTTGACGAGTGGCGGTCAACAGTCATTCTATCTTGTTTTAAGTTTCATGTTTCCTTATGTAACCGGTCCGAGGATTCTTTCATATCAGGACATTGCAATGTATTTATGGTCAACAGAGACGCACTGTATCGCGCATCAGAAAGCGATCAATAGTCCTCCAGTCGATACTGCTTGTTCATGCGCCCCGAACCCCCAACTCCAAGATCTTGACCAGGCCGGCGCCTGGTTGCAATGTATGTCCAACCTCTCCCGGTTCAGGGCCGCCTATCTCCCTGGCCCATGGCACAACAATGTCCTGCACGATGCCCCCTACAAGGTCCTCGATCACCCCATTCAGTCGTGTTCCTGTTTGCTCCACGTCGGGGCAGGCGTTGATCTCCAGGAGGTGGATTAAGAACTTGCCCTCATTGTGCTGGCTTGCCCCTGAGCAAGGTACGGCTACAGGCGGACGGAGAGAGACGAGGAGATCGCAGCCAAACAGCTCGAAGGCGTTCGGTAGAGGCTGGAAGTGCACCTGCCCTGCACCTAGAGCAGCTCTCCACGTCTCGGCCAACACTTCTCCCACACCTCTGGTGATCGCACCAAGATCTTCCTCCGTGATGACCCCACTTGCGCTCCCGGTTCTATGGGTATTGGTTGCCGGAAGCGGGAGGGCGTACTCCCACCCCACTAGTTCGGCCAATTCGAACACGAACCGTTCCTTCGTCTCTTCTTTCTGCAAACACGTGTTCGTTAAGTGCCCCATCAACGACTCCTGTGTCATTGGTGCTCGTGGGGAAACATAAGGCAGTGCGGAGAAGAGAGCGAGCAAGCGGGGGTGGAGGTAGAGTGTGAGAGGTGAAGAGCGGGAGGAGACGACGTATGCTCGTAGATGGAACTTATGTGGTGTCAGAGAGTGCGTGTGCGGAGCGAGAGGGTTGAGTAAGAGTGCACGGGGAACATATTCCTGTGAGTCGACAGTTAGGTGAGTGTAAAAGAAGAAACTAGACACATACTTGAATAACGAAATGCCTCATTTGCTGGGCATTAACTCTCGTACTCTCCCCATTCCTCCCTCCGTCTTGTTTTCCATTCTCCCCATCGACAAGTGCAGTTGCATCTTCGTCGTCATCGTCATCATCCTTGCTCTCTTCCTCAAACTCTTCAAAGATCTCCTCGAGTTCGTGTTTCGAGCTGAACATGCGTATCCCCTGACCCTTGTCCGCCATCCCCGGCTTGAGGATATACCACCTCCTCTCCTCTTCCTCCTCAGCTTCCTCCTGTTCATCCAAATATTTACCAAGATCCCACAGCTCATCGGCCCATAACTCCTCCAGCTCGTCTGCGAAGCGTACTTCCACCGCCCATGTCTTGGGGACTGCAGCACCCAGGAGGGAAGAAGGATGTTTTGCAAGCCACTGCGCAACGGTGGAGGCAAGATAGTGTTTCCTTATGAGAGATTTTCGGATAACGTAGCTGCAAGATAGGACTCGGGATAAATCCGAGTGCGCTTGAGAAAGAGTGAGTTCATGGTTGAGGAGGTCATAGTCGGCCCATTGGAGAAGTGGGAGAGGCGGCGGAGCGGGAAGAGAAGAGAGAATTGACAATGATGGGTATGTGCGGAGAAGAGCGGCGGTGATGAGCGATGTGAAAAATCTCGAGGGGAAGTTGACAAAAGCGGTAAAAGGAGGCGGCGGAGATGATGATAACATTGATTGAGTCCTAAAAAGGAATGTTTCAACCACGCGACTTTCATTGTCAGGTTGTGCGGAAGCAAATAGAACTGACAATGATCGACAGCTCGATCATCCCTCACCGTCTTCTTCTCTTCCACATACCACTGATTGAATCTCCTGATATTCGCTACGTGTTCAAGGCTGCTACTAACGAGTTGTGCAACAGAAGTAAGAAAAGGGTTATCCCCCGCTTAACTGGTTCTCTGCATGATTGGCACTGGGAGGTCTAGACCTCGACCGAAGTAGACGGAGGACCGTGGGTACCAACTGCAGCAGATTTGCTTCATTTATGCCTGCCGATCAATGTTATCGGTCCTTCTTTTGTCGATTAATACTCCTGATGATGATGAGCGTCAGATGACGAGTGTCTAACGCCGACCTCCTTCATACTGAGTTTCGACAGGCTATATAACCCAGACATTTGTGTCAACTTGTGTTTTGTCATCCCCTTCAAGAGCCTTAGTAGCGATGCATCTCCCCTTCCTTCCCGCTGTACACATCGTAATAAACTTCGACGGGCACAAGATCCTGCATTCCCTCTCCGTCCGCTGGCGGGCGTTCAAAGCCCTCCTCTCCCTCTCCGCCCAAGTCGAGAGCACGGAGCGGGAGATGCGGCGCGCAGTCAAGTGCGTGTTGCAGCAGGCGATGCAGGATGGAGCAGATAAGGCTGAAGTGGGAAGGATGTTGGCCGAGCTGGCTGCGTGCGTGTCTCCTCCCTAGCTCTCTTTACGCACTTTGCTTACTTCTCTGGTGTCGAGGCAGACTGGGCGACCGGGCAGCTCGGTCGGCGCACAACCATTCGTCTCACAACCCCTTTCGGCTCGCCCAAGTCGCTCAGACGCGGCACAACATGAAAGAGCTTGAGAATGAGGTCATGGTGTGCCTCTTTCTTCCCACCTCTTTCCGTCACATGTTCAATTTACGAACAGCTCGCGGGTGCCGTGAGGAAGATCAGGAATATTGCTGCTGCTTGCAGGCTTGGTGAGCTGGACGAGCTAAAAGAGCCGATGGTGATTGCTGAGAGAGCTTTCAGAGGCGACAAGCTTAGCCCAAGTTAGAGGGGATGAAAACCGTCTGTAGCTCACAGACATGGACCCAGACGACTCGCGTTAAGTCTAGTTCGGGAAGGACGATGTAGAACAAAGTATGCAGAACGAAACAGACGTTCACACCACGCAGTCTACATATTAAAAATATTATTATCATGTCACATGAGATAGCCCGAAATAAATACATGCTCCGACCGGTTTGATTACCCTTCCACGTGCCGCAGGATGAAGCGATTCTATCTATCCGGGCTGGGCACGACCCCGTCGTACAACAGTCGAAACTCATCCGCCCCGCTGCGTACGAGGGGGCCATGCGCTGACTCGGCTAGAGAACGAGGAGATGCCGGACGCCCTCTTTCCTCGTCATCTTCTTTGTGAGACTCTTGCCCGCTTGGGCTGAGTAAGGGCGTCTTGGGGCCCTCTGCCGACAGTTGAGGAATATCAAGCTTGGATGTTGGACGTAGGGCAGGCAAGAAGCTTCGCCGCTTCGGAGGCGCGAATTCTGTTTGCTGCGCCGCTGGAGACTCTGTCACAACTTTCGACCTGATCAGACCAGAATCTTTTGACTTTGATGTCATACTCACCAGTACTGTCCAGGATGTTCTTGCGATGTCCAGCAAGAGACTGCAGAACGGTTCCACCCAGTGCCACGCGTATAAGGACTAGGATTCCCTATCACACTGGCTCAGCAAAATGTGATAAAGGGTTGGGAATACTCACAATATCCGTCACAATTAAGCTGCCATACGCGAGGGCAACAATAGGTACTAGACAGGATTCAGCCGTGGATAACGATCCAAAGCAAGGGAACCTACGCGTCCATCCCGCCTCGAGTACTTCGAATGCCAAATTTGGATCATCAGGGGACGGCGCTCTATCGAGGATAGCGCTGATGACGAGTCCAATGCCCACAAGTAGATGCAGCACCAAAGGTGCCCATTCGAGTATGTCTACCTACAGCATCAGAGAGGAGTCCAACATCCAAGGTTGATAACGGACATATAGGGATGCCGAAGAACTTCTTCACCCGGTCCACAGCTGAGAATGCCGAGTCGAAGCTCGCCGAATGGAAGAGCTTCATAGGATAGTCTTCGGCGGACTTCACGTCGTCTGAACCGTAGATCTGATCTGGCGTTGGAGCCTCCTCTTCCGATCCTTGCGTACGAAAGACAGTCAGGATCTCGGCTAAGATCACTAGTGCGCCCTGATTTACGTCAGCACCAGTCTCTCTGAGGGGATGATCAAGGACTCACTGCACATGGCATGAAGTATAACGACGGTGTCATGAGGTCGTTGAAGTATACGTAGAAAAAGTAATTCCACCATTCGTCCATGTAGTTTTCCTGGTCGCTCAGCTGCGTCTCGTTCGTATTCCAAGCGCGCGATACATCAGATAAGTTCGCATAAGCCTCAGTTGTCAGTTCGGTGAATTGGATGTCGTAGCTCTAATGCAATAGTAAGCACGGGAACTCTCGACATTGAGTTTACTTACGCTGGCAACCTCCATGCATATCTGCGCAGCATACTGAAGCGCCTCGATGTACGGGTCATTCTCTGGGAGGTCAGTAGTGCTATCGCTCAAGATCAGCACCTCGCTATTCAGGTGGTTGATCTCATGCATAAAGCTGGGTTGGAGACTGAGCTTGTTGAACTGGAGGATATCCTCAGGTGGCAGCAAGGCGTCAAACAGCGCATAATTGTTCGTTTCGCCGGTATTGTTCAGCGCCTGGTTGAACATCGGCACGAGGAAGTACATCGCCCCGCCGACGTTCTCGTATACCACTACATTCTTCATGGATGAGAGAACGATGAGGATGACAAAGTGCAACGGGAGGTGGAGAAACGCCCATGCGCCTGCGAAGCGGCGGGATTTGAATCGGTCCTCGGGGTTGAAGGCGTGGAAGATAAAGTGCCAGATACCGAATACGATCACGAGGCAGCACAGACATTCAGAGTCTGAAGACAACGTGAGTAGTGGTAAGTTTCAAAGGATAGATGACGCACAGGCTGTCAACGTGCTCCCTCCCGCAGTCAGCCCGAATCCGGAAACGACATCCGCCAGAGTCTTAACGATACCCAGCACGCCCTCAGCTAAGATGACCAAAGTTAAGTCTGCGAATCTCTCCGCAAGCAGTCCAGAAGCCGGGGCGATCCCTTTCCTCAGATGGCCGACACCGAGCGAGATGATGACCTCGATGCCTAGGCCCAGGTAGCCTAGGACAAGCTTTGCCGTGGCGTTGGACTTGAGAAGGCCGGCGATGAGCCAGAATGGGGCTGAGAAGAGGCAGGTACAAAGCGGAATGAGGAAAGAAAGAAGCTGGCTACGTCGTGCGCGAGGCTGCGTCGCGCAAAGAACTTCATCCCGTGTCAGAAAGAGCACGATATATGCTAGAACAAGTCAACGTACCATATACATGCTGAAACGCCAACAACAGCCTCGAAACCGCGTACGCTAACGCGACACCCCTGTAGCTCCTGCTCCCTCCGACAGCAGCAACTGCGCTAAGCACCGTCACGTCTTCCGGGCGGACGACGTATCCCGGGTCAAAATCTTGTACGAAGACGCCAACGTAGGTGAACACTGCCAGTTGGAGCAGCTTGAATAGCCTGTGGAACCAGTCGTTGGACTGATATCGCGCGTCGTAGAGGCATTGGGAAGCCCATACCCACCCTACGCCAATACTCTAGATCAGCACTCGAGACCCGCATACATGCAAGGCAAACGTACAGATGATAATAAAATGGCTGAAATACGCCAACACGCTGCTGGCGTTCATAATCTGGTGCTTGTCCCCGAATACGCTGAGCACAGCGGCGATCGCAAGATCGTACAGCAAGTCCAGGTATGCAGGCGCGCGCTGGGACTTGGCTAGCCAATGTATCTCGGCCGGGTCGGCGCTGGGGTGCGGGCCTTGTTGGATGATGAGAGGGAGGAGGGGGCCGGCGACGGAGATATGGATCGGGCTGAGAGAGGGTGAGCATGCATCTACGTGATGAAGTAGGCAAGGTGGACGTACTGCTCTTCCTCTGCCTGTTCTACCTACTGTTTGCCCAGCTCGCTGTATTCCCCCGAGGCGCTCATCTTGCTCTGGCGCGGTATTCGGCTGGCCTAGGATATCCCACGCAGAGGGTATAACACGAGAGTAGATGGCGGTCGAACGTCAATGTCAAGTTTGAGTCCCGTCTCCCGGGAGACCGGCGTCGCAGTATCCCTCCAACCATCATCATTATCTGTTGAAAGACAGCCTGCGAGTCAAACTGCGTCAAGCAGATAAACGCCCAACCGGGGCATCGCACGTCCGGCTTAGTCCGGTTATTTGGTAAAAGAACGTGCAGGCAGTACGGCATTGAATCGGAAGGCGCTGGGTGTTGAGCTCAGGTTGGCAGAGCAAAGTGCAAGAAGAATTCTTGCAACCCTGATGGAAGACGGGTACGGATATTTTGCTGCAGTGCGGCTGCGTCTGACTGCACTGCCCAAGGGCCCTCACTCCGAGGCCCTGGGATGCAGTTGGATGCAGCTGCATCTTCAGGGTCCGGATGAATTTATGAATCCTTTGGCACGCATTTTTTGTGTCCTTCTACCTCTCATCTCAACACTCATCTGAGCTGGTATGAATAATATTCTATAACTCATGACACTTTCTTATTATGTGATTGTGATTATAGATAATTCACCTTTTCAAAGCCTTGAACACTGTTTTCCTCTAAAATAAAGAGGAAAATTAGATATGGTGAGCCCTTTTATACATCCCAAAAATATATTTACTCATGTGTTTTAGGCATCTCAGCAACACAATCTGAGTGCTCTTTTGGAAGCTCTTGCAAGTTTTAAGAGTATGTCCACTGGTCTTTCTAGTGATGTCTCTGGTCTCTCAGCTTCACCAACTCAACTTGAGCTCTTTCACCAGCACTATATCCATCTTCACTGTGATACTCATCACAACTGTCAGCCTACTGTCAGGGCACCAGCTCATTGCTTGGTCAAGAGACATGACTAAGCCTTTATGACATGGAAGTAGCTGGTATACCTTGGCATGTGCTGGAACCTGCTGGAAGGATTGGATGGTCAGGTGACCTGCTGTGCATGGCTGTGCATGACCTCATATGACCTCATCCTTGGTCATATGACCTGACCACCTGACTAGGCTAAGTAAGCAAGATGTTCTAGCAGGTTCCACCACAGAGGTATAAATATAAGGCCTACTCTGCCTGGGGACTGTCTCTTCAGACTTGGTCTCTTAGGATCATCCACAGGTACCTATACTGTAGATAGGTCTTAGTCATCAGGTCTACTCCACTTCCTTGTTGCCTGCTTAGACTCTTGGCACTCTTAGGTGAGCAGACTTAGTCAGCCTGTGTTGCCCTAACACAACCATGCCTGCTGAAGCTGAAATGCTCAAAGATTGGAGAATGGCAGGCAAAGTTCAAGTTGGTGATGCATTGGCATCACTTCCAGCTATGACATGGAGTGGAGATACCAGACAAATCATTTTGGGCCTGGATGAAGTTATTTGTGTACAGACAACAAAGTCATTTTGTGGGAACAGCAGAACTCGAGAAATCTTCCAGAATGCCCTCACGCGTCACACAAAACGTCTCTAATGCCCTTTTCATCTGGCATTGTCCACAATGCCCTTCATTCCTTGCACACAGAATGTATGTAATTACATTGTCTGTCTAGGGGGACCTGCTCCTGGCTCTTCCCTCACAGTTGCTGGATGACCATGGTGCATCTTTCACTGAGGTGGATCAAGTGCAGTGTCCAGATCTAGCCCAGATAGCAAGACCATCAGGTATGGAACTTGGTAGGTTTCTTGCAGCATTGAGTTGAGGTAGCACTTGTCAAAGTACTTGCCTGGCGCTTGGTTGAATTCATAGCAAGCAGCAATTGCATGTGCACATGGTACAAGGTACTGCTGGAAGAACCAGCATGAACACATTCCCCCCTTCAATTCTGGATCCAACATCATGTTGTACTTGTCTCTGCCTGGTCCTTTGACAAGAGCTTGTAGATGAACTGATGCTGTCACTTTAAAAGTCCAGGCAGCAACACAATTGTCAGTGAAGACCTTGAGGTGCTTCACCATGTAATTGGAATTGGTTGATGGCAGAGTGAGAGCATATGTCTGGCGCTTGTAATGGTGTGCCATCTGATGACACCATATGTAGTCAAGGAGTTTAAGCACTGGTAATTCATGAGTTTCATGGAAGACATTATTCATGACTTCTGCTGCATTTGATGTGAGTCAACCAAAGCATGGCTTGATAAATGCATAGCTTGCCCATGCAGCTTGTTCAATGACTGCAAGATAAGGTGCTGCCCTGGGTTTGACATTCTGATCATTGTGGACTGCATCTAAGTGTTTGTTGAATTCCTTCTCAGTTGGCACTTGGCAAGGTTCCAGATGTGATCTTCAACTGGTTTGCCAAAGTGTCGGACTGCATTTGTAATGATGTGCTTGATGCAGAATGCTTGTTCAACAAGCAGAAGTTCATCTGAGATAGCTTTGAGCAAGCCCTTCTGCTGATCAGATATGATTGTGGTTGTTGGGCTATCAAGCCCATTGAGAGATTCCTTGAGTGATTGGAGGAATGAGGACCATGTCTGGGTATCTTCTTGTTGTGCAATAGCCCATGCTAGGACAAGCAGCTTGTCTTCCACATCATGTGTAACTGCCATGAGAAGGACATATTTGTAAGATGTCTTTGTGAATGCACCATCCACTGCGAAAAAGTGATGGACAGAACACCATGCACTCTTTGCAGCAGCCAAGCATATGAACAAGGATGTGAAGGAATGCTTTGAGTTGAGTGAAATCTTGATCATTGCTCCAGGGTCGCAAGCTGCAAGATGCACTGCATAAGCTGGGAGGGTTTGGAATTCCTTCAGCTGATTCTTGATGTGATTGCCAATAATCTGCTGCTTTGCTCGATAGGCTTGCTGAGGCTTAACACTGATGTTATGCCATTGAAGGGTGTCCATCACAGTTGACATCTTGACTTGGCCATCAACAGGCATGATCTTCTTCAACTTGACAACAAGGAACTGAGTTCGACTTGTAGCTGCACAAGGCTTGATAGCATGTGTCTGACAAGTATGATTGGCTTCAAGATTGCATACATGGAAGACCCCATCTTTGCCCCCAACCAATGCATAGAATCCACAGCTCTCCACCCTGCACTTCACAATCAGCTGACTCTTATCACTCTTGCTAATGCAGTGGGTTGCTGCCTGGCTGTTGGAAAAGCCTGTGAGAGCATTTTGAGCATCATCAAGCAAGGCAAATTCTTGCCCAATGAAGATAGTGTTGGCCATGGCAGATGAAGTGTGTACGTGTCCTCTGTTGACATGTGATGACATCCCTCACTGAGGGCATGGTAGATGACACCAGACATAAAGGGCAATATAGACATCTGCATGACATGCAAGGGCATCCTGGAAGATTTCTCGCAGAACTCATGGGACCCCTGTATAGTTTGGTCTGTACTTGCAACCTATCCTGCCCTTCTGGCATAAGGGCCATGCTGTCATGCTTGGTGATGCTGCACATCCAATGACTCCACTCCTTGGTCAAGGTGCAAATGTGGTATGTCAGCTTTTCTGACAGTGCTCATAGAAAATAATGATCCATACAGACTGTGGAAGATATCTATCATCTTGTCAGAGCACTGGTTTTTAATGGCCCACTAACAAATGAGAGCATTGAGAAGGCATTCACCAAGTATACCACCATCTGGCAGCCCAAAGCTGAGGCAATTTTCAAGCAAAACAAGTGGGAGCTCACCCATAGGCTTGTGACTAGTGATGAAGATATCAAAGCATGCAATGAGATGAAGTCTAGGGGATGAACCATGATGTGTATAAGCTTGTTGCAAGGTCTGTTCACCAGAGAAAGTGAGATATAGGGGGCACTGGATATGGGTCCAATTATTAGTCAAAGTCATGATGTGTACTCTACGCCTCCCAATGAGGCATCAGGAGTAAGTCCACTGGAGGGGGAGTTGACTGTAGTGGCGCAAGCCTAATTAGTAGTAGTTCCAATGTCTACTAGTGGCCGAATCAAAGATAGACTCAAAGGAGAGAGCAGTCCAAAGGTTGGTTTGAGGGTTTGATGTGCATTCCTAAACCCCCAGCAAGAGCATGGCCAATGCCTGTCTAAGGTGCAAGCAATCTGACAAGAATCCAAAAAAGAGGAGTGGCCAAGAGGACTCAAAAGGCTAATAACAAGTGTTGCTGTTTGCAGTTCAAGGATTCAAATTGATAATCAGAATGGGAGAATCAGAGGGTAAATTAAAGATTGACCATAGTTTAGAGGTGTAGTATTAGGTGTAATGTAAGTGATGGAAAGAGAGCTGAAGGAGTGTCCCTATCTGAAGTACTCAAATCCTCCTATATACGTTCGGAGCGGTTTGAACTTTCGGACTAACTAACCTACTCTGTTCCTAATCTATATTACCTAAGGCTGTGTATAGGGTCCACTCTTCCTTCCAATAGTCTGTTCCGGCGTCGTTCGAATGTCAAATCCGAACTCGAAATTCGAATGTGCAGCACAGATGTAAATGCCAGAGTGTGTTGCTCCTCCTCTTCCTAAGAGTCCTGTACTCGGAATGCTTCTGAAGCATATTGGGCACGAACCAGTCATTTTCGAGCGTCAATATGAGCCATCATCGGGAGGAATCGTGACGCCACAAACGTGAGCAATTCATCTGAAGCCAAAGCAATCGCTCACGACACTCCCCAGAATGAAAGTAGTTTGAATTTTGGGACTGCACGATAAAGCCATAACCCTCGGAAAGCCCCACAGGAAGATGAGGTACTGCTCCGAAGTCAGCGGCAAGGTACTCTTTCGAGAGTGATACTGCACCTGGGAAGATTTCCGACTCAAGTCTTGGGTTGGCCGATGATGTGCGCAACCGAGAGATCAACATACACCAAGCTACTGGTAGATGAGACACAGAAATGGGGCATCCCAATATCTCCCCTTTGCAGCCTATGAGCTGGTGATCCCTCGTTCGAACTTAGGAGGGCACTCGAACACCCATTCGATATGTCGACAGTCTCGAATCAGATTTCGACGACTATCGACGCTTCACTCGCGAACTACTCAAACTACTAGATCCGTCCCCCTTTGCCTCCCCCTCCAGCGGACTCTCATAGGGAGGTGTAGAGTACACAGGTCAAACGAGCATTCCTCTACACTGACATGGTGCTTCCTTGCGGGTATGGAAATGAATTGCCTTCACGCAGAACAATTCCCCAAAAACATTGCACCGTATGGGAACTGAGATGCCTGTTCCTCCACCACCAGAACGCATGAGCGCAAAAACGAAAATAACATGGCGCGTAAACTGTTCAATCCAACAATGGCGGACTGGTTACCTGATGACAACAAGTACGATGAAAATAATCTAAAAACACAACATGCAACAGAGTCCTTGCGGGTTTGAAAGTCAGATTAGACAAGCCAGACACTAAACCTCTTCCGGAAGAAGCCGTGCCAAACCGGGCACTTGTTTCAGATAGTGTTTATCCACAATACGTCGCACAATACGTGCCCGGTCAGGTGCTGGGCCTTTGTAGCCTTTCCTCAGTTTGAGGAAGTCGGCTGCAGTGACATGCTCGAGCGCTTCTTCGGTGAGGTCGTCGAGGTTCACTTGGAACTGACAAGTCCACTTTGGACAGCTCCAGCGGTGGTCTTGGGACAATTCGGGGGGATAAGGAAGTCCTGTGGGCACGATCAGTTGAGTTCTTTGCAATGAAGTGCTCTCCTGACCTTTGGAACGGCGCTTTCGAGACGAGAGTTGCCAGAGATCACATCCCAGATGTAGATATCCGGCTTCTCTTCCTTTTCTTTCTCCTCCTGGAACACATCATCGATTTCTAAAAACGCTTCCCCAAACTCATCCGGGAGATCTCGACAATATCGTCATCCTCATCACCGGGGTCGTGACTCCCGCTTCTCCTTTCAGGTGTTGGAACGGGCGCGTTGCAGAACTTCGGCTGACGCATGGGGATGACGACCTCCACTGTGTGCTTGGGGTGACTCTTATACCTGGGCGTAACGCTTGTCCCCTGGTTAGTAACCGATCTTTTGGGAACATCGATGACCACTTCGACGATGTCCTTTCCCTTCTTGCGAGGGGACTCGGATGGAGGGCGGGTATTGATCGTCGGTCGTGCACGGAGAGGGATGACGACTTTGACATTGTCCTGTACCCAAGGCCTCCTCACATGGGAGGTATCTCCTCTCGCGCGAGTAGGGTTGCGGACGGCGACACCTAACCCTTCGTCCTCAGACCCGTCAGACTGCTCAGAATCAGGCTCAAGACGAAACCGTTTACGCGGCATGGAGGATGAGCGCATGCGAGGCCTGTAGTCGTCTTCGTCGTCGGTGTCCTCGTCACTGTCGTCCGAAACCACACGCCGCCGTTTCCGAGATCCAGGGGTATACTTCGCCTCATATTCCTCCTCTTCCGACGTATCGCTCATGGCATACGTCGCGCTCTGCTCCGAGTCAGCATTCCAAACCCTCAGCTCAGCAAATGACGCACAGTCAGTGAATCGACCGCATACTCCCCCAGCTCTTCCCATTGCCGGATAGGGATATTGAAGAACTGGTTGAAGATGTTGGCCCGCATGGGCCTGAGGTACCGGGCGATCCACTCTGCGTGGGTATGGAGTTGCTCATCGATGTTCTCTTTGCTCAAGGGGACGTCTAGGTGATCTACTCTAATCGGCTTGTGGAGCTACATATGCACATAGCCTGTCAGCTTCCCGGTGGTAATAAATGAATAGAAGAAGACGAACCTGCTTGACGAGCCACCCAACAGATCTCTGCTTCGGGCGAACCTTGATCTTATCCTTCGCGGACATACACGGATGGCGCTCGTCCACATCCCGATTCCTGCACCGGTTCATAAAATCCAGGATCCGGAATCGCTCGAGTGTCTGCCTGCTCCGGTGGAGCGTGTCAGGCGCCATGCTGTGCACGAAGTAGCGCCAGTATTGGTTGCTCTCTATTGTCAGTCCATCGGGCGACGGGGGAGCTACGTAGAGTGAGGGGTTCCGGTCAGCGACGTCACGCACGGGAAGGAGAGCGTTCGTACAGAGGAAGAAAGCCGATCTGAGCACTCCGCGGATCTTCATCGACCCAGCAGCATGTTTCTGTCGGGGGCACTTGCGGCCCCTATTATCCCGATTTGCCAGATGGTCAAAATACGCCCATTGCCGACGGGTAAAGAACGCCGTAGCCTTAAACTCGATCCTTCCCTTTTCTGGCTGCTGCTCCTCGTCCGGAGTACGCATGTACCCGGGATCGGGCATGTCGTCCAGCCCCACAGTCGTTTTACCACGGAAGAGGATCAAGTTCTCGAGTGCGATACGCCAGGGAGGACCTTTCCTCCTCTGTGGAAACTGGAGGTCGGCAACTCGGGAGGAGATGTCGATCTCTACCTCGGGCATGGAGAGCATAGGAGCGCGGGGGTCGATCATTACCAGCTCATGCATATCTTCATCTGAGTCGGAAGTCATAGCCAAACAAGAAAAGTGAGGGGTCAAGTAGTCGAGTAGTCAAGCGCGAGCAGAGCAAGAGCAGGTTTCGCCCCAGTTGGAGCTCTCCAAGTGTACGAGAGTTCACTCTTATACTTCAGCAGCTGGCCATCCCGCGGCCGTTAGGAAGAAGAAGAAGAGGAAGAAGAAGAAAGACAGTCGCCGTCGTCGCAGCACAGAACCGTGCTCACAAGTCCAAGTCCAACCAAGTGGCAAAACTAGGCGGAGGGACCTGCAGCTGAATAGGGTTGAGTTGAACTGAACACCAACACGCGCCGCGCGTCTGATCCCGTATTGTAGTCACGGTACTGTTTCCATGGTCTTCCTGCGTCTTCCAGGAGATTCTGAACCAAACAAAGAACAAAGGGCGATGATGGGCTTAGCGCTGGTCTTGCTCTTAGGCCCCGGGCCCTGCATCCCTACATTCACCCTTCAAGGATATTCCCGGTCTGCGGCAATGGTTTTCTGTGGTTAAGTCCGCACATTTGAAAGGGAGGTGGCGAGCGCGTTGGATATATACCCATCAGGCTCACTGTTGTAGATGTAGGTGTTTGAGCGACTGAAAGAGCCTTTTATGAGCATGACACATCTTTGGCTTATTGGCTACATGCTGCTTGCTCCGCTGTTCAATGATTGGGATGTGTAAATGTGGCACATGTTTCCTGACATTTCTATCTGATACACAATGCAAGTTAATAAGAAAGAGGCCAGGAGTTGGGAGAGGAGATCGCGCGAGGTCCTGAGGGGGATGAGGGGGGTGGGGTGGGGGATGTATGACTGTGAGAGGTGACTTGAACTTTGGGGGGGGGGGGAGGGGGGCGGGGCTTTTAACACACGGACTACCCCGTAACGTTCGAGCTTAGCTTGCGAATATTGCGATTCACGTTCATTCCAAGTGATGGAGGCGAACCTCGGCGGGCGGCGCGGCGTCCTTGTTCATCTATTTGATAAAGTACAAACCCCACGGCAATGTTGCTTGAGTCGACAGCCAAGAGGGGAGGAGGATGGAACCTGCTTTCGACTGCCGGGCTACGTCCCCGCAAGATACGTGCAATACGATACGATACGATACAGGGCATGATATTCTAGGGACCACTTTGTAACACCCTTTCCCAGAGATACTATGTACAAGGGTCTCTGCCCCTTTGGGGCTAGGGACTTTATCCTGTTGCCATAACAGTGCTGCCAAACACAGTTATGCCAGATCATAAATATCATGGACAGATTTGCCCATGCCCAAAAAGTCAACCACTTATTCATGTTAACTGAGCAGCACATATATCATTTTTAAGCAGATTTGTGCTAGCAAGACATGACACATAAGCATGTCTCTTGGACTAGACATAGCCAATGAGATAATATGTGGTCAGCTGTGTGGTTAGGATGAGATTCTGCCTATGGGTCATATAGGGCCTGGGAGCCTGCAGACTCTTATCTCATAGTAATAGCATCAGATATCGGAACAAAACTGGCTAAACTTCCAAGAAACTCAACACTACTCCAGTCTTGTAGCAATATTAGTATTATTAATCCTTCTCATAAAAGTAATAACAGCATCACAATTAATAATAAATCTTACTAATACTGCTCCCATTGCTATTAATTTTACTATCTAAGGTTTTATTTCATGTAGGGTTATATCATTTTGGGGTTAAGGTCAGGTTAGGGGTTTTTGGTTTAGGTGTTGTTACATAACCAGGCCCCCCCTATTTTTGGGGAGATGTGCGGCTGTGTCAATGCAGAGGCAATGTGCGTGAAATTGATTTTTCACACGGGCAAACCTCGGAAAAAGTGGAACGACACCGCTGCCATCAATAAGAGCAACTCGTCCCTCTGCTTACACCTGTCTCTGCCTCTCAAGACCCGGGCGCGGCCTTCGGCGAGGGAGGTGAGGGCTGAGGCTTGGGAGGGGGGGAGACGGAGGGAGGTGTAGGCTGAGAGGGCGTGGTGGAGGTGTGGGAGGGTGAGTGCGCCCGGGGGGAGAGGGGCAGGGGAGGGTGAGGAGGGTTGGGAGGAACAGGGAGGGGAAGAGGAAGGCGAAGGCGAGCGGGGCAGCTGCTCACACAACAAACGCACAAGCCACCAAGCGTCCTCCGCAGCCCTATTCGCCCCTTGCCCCAAATGTGGTGTCCCCGGGCAAGCCGCATCCCCACAAAGGACCACCCTGTCCTTATCCCAACCTTCTAGCGCCTGATCCAGCAGCACCGCGTGCCTATAAGCACTCGTCGCCCCTGCCAGGACCCTCGCTGGCTGCCCAGGCCAGCGCGCTTGGGGGAGGGAAGCGAGCAAAGCGCGCCCGGCTGTGGAATGGAGGTTGATAGCACGCCACGCGTCGGATGAAGGACGGGGTTCGGGGAGAGCGCATTGGAAGCTTTGTTCGATGGGGGAGAGGGGGGCGGAGAGGAAGTGTGCCCCGTCGCCGTAGATTTGGAAAACGGTTGCGGGGGCTGGGGTTGCTGGAGGAGGAGGAGGAGGGGGACAGGGAGCGATGCCGCCGATCTGCCGACGTGTTGGGTTAGGGGAGATGGGGGGGAGGGGGATGGGGGACGCACAACGATTATCCCCTGATACTCCTTTTCCGACTGGCCAAACACGAGTCTCCTAACCATACTATCCTGTCCATCACACCCCACGAGCAGCTCCCCTTCCGCACACGTCCCATCCTCAAACCCGACCCAAACCCTTTGCTCACCCTGCTCCACCCTCACCACCCGCTTCCCAAACAGCACCGGCACCCTGCGTTCCCCCGCTGCCTCGAGCAGCAGCTGGACGTACACAGAGCGCTTGATGTGTGCCATGGGCCAGCCGGTTTCGGCCCGGATTTCTGAGGGGACGGAGGAGGTGAAGAGGGTGCGCTGAAGCACCTGACTCTGGAATTGGAGGGTGTCTATCTGTTGCGCCACAGCCAGTGCGCGGTGGGCGAGCTGGAGGCCGTTGAGCACTTTGAACCTGCCCATGCATTTATTGATTTGGCCATATTCGCAAGCGTGGAAAGGGGGACGTACGAGACAGGAGAAAGCTGGACAGAAGCTCCTCCCAGGGAAAGGGAGGCCTCTGCTTCGTATATCACCGGAGTGAATCCTTTAGCTTTGAGGAGAAGTGCGAGGATAGGCCCTGCGATCCCTGCACCTATTATAAGGACTTTCATCGCTCTGCGTTAGTTGGGTGTGTCGGTTGAACGACGTCGACGAGGACTAGAAGGGTGGTGGGGCAACCTGACTGAAATTGTATAAGGATACCCATTGGCTATAAACTGCGGCGAATGCATGAGCGAGGATATTCTGTGTAATACTGTGTAATTTGCATACATTGTAGCGGGGATACTTCCCGGGTGAATAACCCGTTCTCACATTTCCATCTCCCTCCTTGCAGCACATTCCCTTTCATTGACACTTAGAATGCGGAATGAAAGATAAAAAGTTCGGTGATACTTCACCGAATGAGTGTCAGTGACATTTCAGTCATCCAGGGAAGAGTTACGTAACAGGAATAATCACACAACAAATGTGCATTATCTTAGATCCCTTTTGAAGGTATTGGGCATAAGAACAAGCAAGTAAAAGGGGCGATCGTGTATCTTAAAGTGCGGATATCCGACGCATACGCAGCGAAAGCAAGAGAAGGCAGTGGGGGAGACAAGAACAGTTGACAAAGGTTTCGCACTTCGGAATTCGGTTCAAGGAGCACGCAGGGCCTCAACCTCCTCTTTCAACCTACACCCCAGCAGATTAGTAATACATAGTGACAACAGCCAAAAGTGCCTCACCGCCCAAGTTCATCCAGCGCATCATCCCTCTCACTCTCCACAAACCCAATTTCCATCTTCGCCCTCCCAGCCTCAGCAAGCGCATCATCTCTCTCCCTTCTCAAGCTCTCGTTTTCCTCCAACGCGAGTGATTTCTCCTTCTCGTACGCCTGTTCCAGCTCGAGAAGCTTTTGCTGGTGCGCGCTGTGCAGCTCTGCTAGGTCTTTCCTGTGGTCGACGGTCGCTTGCGTTTGGCTCTCCTGTTTTCGGCGAGGGGACATTGGAGGCGTCGATACTGCTGCAGCGCTAGTAGCGAGCGCGCGTTCCTTTGCTTCGCGCTCATCTTCCACTTCCTGCTTCAACCTCTCCAGCTGCTCCTGTAACGCACTCTTCTCCCTCTCCCACTCCGCTTTGAGCTTCGCGCTCTCCTCCCCCCTGGCGGCCGCCCCCTCCCGCAAGAGGGAATCATGCTGCCTGTTGAGCTCCTCTATCTGCACGATGAACATCTCGTTAGACTGCTTGAGCGCGTCCTGCGCAGCCTGAAGGTCGTCCTTGACAGATCCGAGTTCCCGCTGCGCGGCCTGCAGCTCCCCGCGCACGTCGGGCACTTTGCCGGCTTCTGCTGCTTCTAGCTCTGCCTGTACCTCCCCCAGCCGGGCCTTGAGCGCCTCGTGTTCCCCAGCCAGCGCGTCCCGGGAAGACTTCGTCTTACCCAGATCACCCCGCGCGGCTTCGAGTTCCAGCTTGAGAGCGGACAGGTCCTTGGTGAGAGTCGAGAGCTCCGCTTGGTGCGCTTCGGACATGGACGACTTGAGCTCCTCGACCTGCAGTCCGAACTGTTGTTTCACCTGGTCGATCGTCGCTGCTTGCTGAGCGCGGATGGCGCTCAGGTCTTGCCCGTGAGCTGCGTCCGCTGCGCTCTGTGATAGAGAGTTAGTAGGAATGAATGCATACGTGTTTAAAGCGGACCTTCGCTTCCTCAAACACCTTTTGTAGAGACGCAGCATGCTCAAGCTTGACTTCATCCAGCATGCCCGCATACCGCTTCTCCTCATCCTGCGTAGTTCATGAGATGGGTCAACAGCGCGGAAGATAACCCACCTCAAGCTGCTTCCTCACCCCTGCCAACGTCTCCTCCACCCCGGCAAGCCGCTTTACCGCGGCCTCGCGCTCGGTCTGCAGAGTCTCATCATGCTGCACCCTCAAGTTCTCCCTGTCCTTCTCAGCCTGATCAATGCGCGCCTGCAGATCCTCCTGTTTCGTCAGCGCTTCGGCGTCCTTCTCCTCCTGGAGCTTCTTCAGCTCCGCAAGTGCCGTCTCCTTCGCCAGCGCCGCTTCGTCCTTCAGGTTGGTGACAGACCGTTCATGCTCGATACGCGCCTTGTTCAGCTGCTCAGCTGCCTCTGCCATCTTGGCCTCGATTTCTGTCGAAGAGGATAGCTTGAGCGCGGCCAAGGCGTCTTCTGCCTCCTTGAGCTTCCCCGATGCCAGATCCTGGGCAGATCGGAGAGCAGCGGAATGCTCGTCCATCAGCGTCTGGAACTTTGTCTCATTCTCCGTCATGTTCTGGTTGCGGTGTAGTATCGAAAATATCCATTCAAGTAAGCAAAGGGAATAAGCGGTATTATCGGTATCGATATAGTCGAATGAGCATAACGAATCGGGGGCAGATGGGGATGGAGAATCGGAAAGTCGTCGAAGAGAATATACAGAAGCAAGAAAGTGCGTCAATAACAATCAACAACAGTTAATCAACGTCGTCACCCACCCTCTCCGCCTCCGCTCTCGCCAACTTTAGCTCAGCGCTCAGCGCCTCCACCTCCTTCTTGTGTGCCTCTCGGGCTTCTACCAACTCGGCGGCGCGTTTGTCTGCTTCGACCTCGGCAGTCTCCCGCGCTTCCAGGAGCTCGACTTGAGTCTCGGTCAGCTTCTGGATGGATTCTTCCAGTTGCTTCTCGAGAGCAGCACGGGCTTCTTCGGCAGCGGTCACCCGTGAGACAGACTCGGCCAGAGCGGCAGCACGCTCCTGAGCCAGGCGTGTCTCCTCTGCCTGGACCGTCGCCAGAGTATCTTGAAGCTTCAACAGCTCCGCATGCTCCGTGAGAGCGACTGCTGCAGCCTCCTCGCTCGCTTTCTGGATGCCTTCGCGCTCCTTGGCGATAGCGTCAAGCGCGGCCTTTACCTCGGCAAGAGCGGATGCATGAGTTGCAGAAAGCTCCGCATGCTGATTTGACTCGACCTGGATGGTAGAGAGCTCTTCCTGAACCTTGGCAAGTTCGTCTTGGAGCTTGGCGCACTCTTCCTGCGCAGAAGCAGTGGCGGACTCCTTCTCTGAGGCGTGCTGCTCATGGGCGGCCTCAAGGTCGGCCTGAAGATCAGCTAATTGCTCCTTTGTGGAGGAGGACTCGGCATGAGCAGCTTCGAGCTATATGCACGGTAAACGTCAAGGTCAAGGTCAAGGTCTCGCCGAACTGTGGACGTGCCTCGGTTTTCAACTGCTCGATGTCTTCGCTCTTGTCACTGCTCGCCTTCAGGGTCTCCAGCTCTGCCTTTACTTCAGCCAGTTGTGCTTCCAAGGCGGTGATCTGCTCCTGTTTGCTTGCAAGATCAGCAAGGGAATGCTGGAACTAAGCGACGGTCAGTGTATGCGCAGGAAGGATACAGGGTTCAGTCAGTACCTTCTCCTCCAGCTCCTTGGATGGGGCTGTGGCATGGATAGTACTTGGCCGAGCCGCTGTAGTGCGCGCAGTAGACGGTGTCAAGCTAGACCGCGTAGTCGTCGTCGGCTTCTTTGCTTCGATACTAACTGCGGCCCGAGGACGAGAGATAGCAGAGGTCGCGCTCGGAGTGGGTGACGGAGCCTTGCGCGTTGTCGTGGTGCTAGACAAGGACGTCTTGGGCGCGGGTTTCGCAGCCGCGGCAGCAGTCGATGTAGGCTTGCTAGACGGCGCAGTATGTTTCCCAAGAACAGAAGATGTTGACGAAGACAGAACGGAAGAACGAGGTTTAGCTGCGCCTGCGGGTGGCGGTGCTGCTGGTGCTGCTGATGGGCGTCGTGCATGACCAGTAGCAGACGTTGCGCTCGTTGGCGTTGTCGCAGATTTTGGTGCTGCAGTCTTTGCTGTCGCCGCAGCAGGTGCAGCAGCAGTTGACAAACGCTTTGGTGCTGTCGATGCTGTCGATGCCGTCGTACCCGATACACTAGTCCGGTGTGCAGGGGTTGGCTTAATTGCACCCGAACCGAAAGTCCCAGAGCTGAGGACCTAGGATGGGGTTATCGCTGGAGCTGTACGATTGCAAGAGAAACGCACCTTCTTCACCGGATGAGTCCCAGGTTTCTCACCAGCTGCTGCCTTGATTGTAGGCTTCTTCGCATCCGCCTTGGCTTCCTTCGGTGCATCGAGGCCTGCATGACCATCCTCTTCATGGATCTCCCCATCAGCGGCATGATCGTTGATTGCAACGCCGTTCCCATTCTCCGTAGTGGGATCATGCTCCTCGTGCTGATGGACTTGTGCTTCTTCCTCTACAGCGTGTACCATGTCCTCATGCTCCTGGATAGGCTCGACGTCGGCCATCGTGGCGAGTAAGTGAGTCTACGTTGAGGTAAAGAGGATGCAAAGGTGTATGCGGATCTGGCAGTCCCCTCGCTGCATGTAAAATAGAAGGTTCGAGGAGTGCTCGAAGCGCGTGTCCATCGGAGGCTCCGTCTGCGGAGGCTTTCGACACGTCCCCTACAGACACGTGTTGTCTTTCATTGTTATACTTTTACTTTTCTTTGTGACAACCATCGACGAACAAAGCATTTACATCCTGTGACATCTGCCGATATATGGAGGAACACAGAAATTGCTAACTTTTGTCCCTTGTGTAATATATTGCGATATCCTTGGTTAACGTAGTTGTCCCACGATTGGGGAGGGGGAAATTCGCCTTTTACTTCCGCCGTTAAGGAAATCTGGTAATCATTTATCTGCCTTACTTGCCCGCCTCTTTCCGCCATGGCGTCTTTGAACTAGGAAAGGGGCCGTGCTGAGCTCTTATGTTGCCAGAACGATTTCGATGACACGGAATCTCAATACAAATGAGGAAACTAGCAAGTTTCCATGGAGTTACCATACCATTTCTACTGTCAGCGTTTTGATCCCAAGTCGATTGCACACTCCACGGGTTAGAGTGTGGTGCTCTATCTCTGGTTACCTCGCATGCCTTTTTCACGGAGATTGACTTCATTCATTTCCCTTGCCACATAGAAGAACCCTACTCTCACGAGCTCTAGCTAGGGGATCACTTGCTGCCGACTTCTTACAGCCTCCTTTCAGGAGATCACAGTGTCCGCATGCCGTTGCCCAGGGGGTGCGCGGAGCAGATTGCTATCAACCATTCGAAACGTGTGTGATGACAGAATCGGAAAATGTGAAGCTAATACCGCCGCGAGAGACGGCGTACATTATGACTAGATGGTATGAATGTCGAAAACACCGACTAAGCCTGCGTTTGCGGATTCATGATATCGCGCTCGAATGCATTCAATGTGCTGAAGATCTTATCGTATGACGGCATACCCAGGATTTCCATCAGTCGGATTTTGAGATGGGCGATCTTCTGTATCGTAACCTGACTGTGCGGGTCGACCTGGGCCACGAGCTCGGTGCCATCTACATCCAGGATCTTGATGTCGCCCTCTTCCTGCTTGACCGAGAGCGGGGGCTGAGACGGCTGTTGACTTGAGGAGACAGATGGAGCTTCCTGCTGAGTGTGAGACGATGCGGGAGGCTGGCCCAGTCTGGAAGGTGCTGCCCGACGGGCTTCCTCTGCGATAGTAGGCATGCGGATACGCTTCGGAGGTACTTCAATCTCCCGATCAGGCGAGGCAGCGCGTTTGCGACCAAGGTCCGTTTTGGTGGGCTCCGCCATAGGCACTGACGGCACAGCCGAACTCGCGAACAGAGGGCGGGGTCGAGGACGAGGCTGCAGGTTGTCTGGGACGTTAACGGACAGACTCATTGGGAACGGAGCTGGCCGAACGAGAGATGGCGCGGGAGAAGCAGACTTGGACATCGGACGAGTAATGAACTTTCGGCCCGGTCGGCGTTCATTTGCTCTGCTCGGCTGAGGTTGTGTTTGTCCAACAGGCGGGAGGATGCTAGGTTGAGGGTCGGCGCGCTCGACGTTGTTCGTGAACGGAGAGTCAAAACTGTCGTCGTTCTGAGGAACGGGTTGTTTGCCAGCTCGGGTGGATAATGATGGGTTTTCTTCTGGACCCTCTGGCGGGTCGCGCCTAGAGTTCGTTTCTGAGGAAACCTGGGCGTTAGCTCTCGTGACAGTCGACACATGAGACCGTCCTACCTAAGAGATTGCAGGCTGTTTTGGCCTTGCGACATAGAACACACCCTTCCTCGGGCCATGCACGGCATATTCTTTTTTTCGATTTGGACTCGTTGCATCTTGCGCATCCTGGTTTCCACACAGGCGGCGGCTTACTGCGGGATGCTGGCGCAGACTTCACACCGCGGCCACGACCGCCACCGCGGCCACGGTTGCTGGCGGGTATCCTTCTTTCGGCAAGATTATCCGCTGGAATGACAGGCGGCAGCGGCGCGTAAACATCGAGCGCGCTTGTTCCTACGGCATGCATGTTGAAAGTTCCAGGTCCTCTAACCATCACGCTTTCCGCATCCGTTTCATCGTCCGAATCGATCCTAACCACCGACGGAGAAGAGAGCGAAGGGGATATCGGTACGAGAGTGACGGGACGACGCCGACATGACGGGCGTGGGCAAGCGCGACGTGTGCCCCTTTTGATCACATCAAAATTTATATGCTGGCCGGATCTGAAGGCGTGTCCGCTTTTCCGCGAGCGTTGTCTGCCTTAGACTGCTTCCGCGGGCCACGGCCGACTTCTGATAACTTAGCAAATAAATGCGCTTCTTCGACCACTAGAACTTACGCATATTAGAGAGAAGACGGGCCGCCCAAAGAGTACTAGGAAAGAAGATACCGGTTGCTCCCCATGTGACCGTGACTTAGAGCACGCTCAAGCGAATCCAGACTGGTGTGCTGCACATTCGAATTTTGAACCTGGCCTTCAAACGACACCTCGAACGAGTGTAGACAAGAAAAGCAGTAAGTATGATGACGCCGATCGGAGGCAAAAGACCCTACGTTTACCAAATATGGAAAGAATGCTATGGGCTTTGCCCACGGCATTAAGTAAATAAGTGTCTTAGTTAAATGATATCATATTATTATCACCCTACCACTAACCCTAACCCCTGCCCTTAACAACCCGAACCTGCTAGAACACCACACACTGGGCATGGGGGAGAATTCTCTTTTTGGAAATTGCGGAGGTAAATTGTCCCTGTATCACTTTTCTTGTGTCACCTCAAACGGAGCTCAAACAGATACCTTAGGAAGACAATCCTGCAAACCCCTTTTACTTCAGCCTCACCTTGCTGTCAAGGAAATCTGGTAATCATTTATCCACCTTCTTTGCCTGCCTCTTTCTTTGCATCTTTGAATCATGTGCTGCTACCTTCTTCCAGCCTCTTCCTTCACACACACACCACCCCTACCTCATTCCTCAAATTATCATTTGGGCCCTTCGCACATTATTCCCAGATGAAGAAGCTTCTTACACCAAGATGTGAATGGCAAGCAGCTTTCCAACTGTAGCCAGATCTGCCATTGTCACCTATGAGGAGGAGCTAGTGATCCTCTGTTCAAAGTCAAGCCAGCACTCAAACACTCATTCAACATCTCAACTTTCTTGGAACTTTTTTTTGCGAACTACACAAAATATTGTCATTCTTCTCCCCTCCAGTGGACCTACTCCTGATGCCTCATAGGGAAGTGTAGAGTACACTGAGACAAAGGAGCTTCTTACTCCAAGATTTGAGTGGCTTTCCGACTGTAGCCAGACCTGCTGTCATAGCCTATGAGGAGCTGTGATCCCCCATTCAAGTCAAATGTGGGTGAGAAGGTCATGGGGGAGAGTCGTTGCCAGTGTTGTGCACTGAAGGCTTGTGAATGTCTGTGTTGGAACCAGCAGTGTCTCTTATGTATGCTGGAGCATCCATCCTGTCCATTTGGAGTGAAGTGATAATGTCATGCTCTGTTTTGCACACGTCCTTCAGTCTGGCAGCACTCAAACCCTCATTTGACATCTCAACTTTCTCAGAACATTTTTTGTGAACTACTCCAGATATTGTCATTCTTCTCCCCCTCCAGCAGACTTACTCCTGATGCCTCATTGGGAAGCATACACCATGCATTGCTGTCCTTGTGGGTTTCACAAGGGCAAGGTCAACTCTGATTCTGTGTGGCCCATTTGTATTGGTTCCATGTGAATGGGAGCAGCCCTGCTTCCATGTTGGCCACCTATATTGACTACACCTGAAGGTAATGTTCATCCAGCATTGATCAGCAAGGTGGGTTTTTACCCAGTTCACCCAAGTTATATGAGATGCATTAGTAGTTTTGAGGTGGGCTTTAGATTCAATAGTAGTGATATGGGTGGGCCTAAGATGTCCAAGTTGAGCTGTAATAGCTTTATTAGTATAACATGAACAATTGCGCCAGTGGTCATAGTGCAAGTTATTTTTTCTGGTCACATCTGCCCATGGAATATTTGAGCAAATTACTACATGAACTATGGTACTTAGCACTATTACTTGGACCCCCCTTTGAGCTTTTTGATCTGCCCCTGGAGCAGGGAAATGGCAACTGCAAAGGCTATAGATACTAGAACAGTATCAGCTCCATCAACAGCAAATTAGTGGATAAGTCACTTACTAACAGTGAGGAAGAGGTGATTCCACCACTTCCTCAGAAAGATACCAATAGCTTGCATATTCATGGTGTTGTTCCCCCCTCTCAACTCATGTCGCAAGCATTGATAGTCAGGCTTGTGCTCCAAGCCCGTATTTGGTTGCCACAGGAAAGTCACAAAGTCTTTGCCATCCCAGCACATATTCCTCAATCAGATCCTCCATGCTGCTTGCACCGCAATGCCCTCTATCCCCCAAACCTCCCAGTGCAGCCATTGATTCATCATCCATGACTGTCATCTATACTTCAGAATAATCTTGATGCAAGTTGCTTCCCACATTTGAGCTTCTTCCGGTAGGGCAGCCAGGTCAACCGGGCAGTCCAGTGACATGAGCCCTTCCCTCTCATGATTGTCCCATTTGGCAGTGACCAGCTGACAGATATGATCGACCCACTAAGCTCTGCCATTAGAAACCTACAAGCCTCAGCAGCACAGCTGTGCTCACCTCTCTCTCACCATTCACCATCACTAGCTGCTCATACTTGATCTCCTCATCCTCTGCATAAGGTCTTGGCACATACGTCCAAGGTTGCCCAGGGGTTGCCGATGCATACATGAACAGGTTTTGAATGCATGCACATAGCTGCATTATTGGTACATCGAATGGGTGGGGCGGGCGTACAGTTCCATCATCAATATGAGGGTTAGGACTAGCAGGAGGGAGAGGCATGATGCTGGGCAATGTAATTTCCACGGCCCCTGCAGGAACAGCACTTGTGGTCATCACCGGAGAGGCAATCACAGTTGGCGAGGTGTTGGTAGTAGTTGGGGGTGGGCTGGCATCACCTGCCATTTTCATGCCCCTTGCCAGTGTAAGGTGCATGGGCGTATCTGAGATTGACATTGTGTTCAAGGCAGCAGGTGTCACATTCCCTTCATTGATGCTCATAGCATTCATGAGGGGTGTGGAAAGGGTGAGCATGTTATTTGACTGGGCATGTGTCTGCATTGTGTCATTGCTGATATCTCTGGCTGTTGAAGAGCTCGGACCAGGGTTGGGACCATCGTCAGGTGTATGTTCATCATCATGTGCATGCGAGTGTTGGACTCTGGTGGATCTTCATGCACCTGATCCAGGCTCCTCCAATTTCCTCCTCTCTTTCTTCTCCTCCCTGGCTCTCTTCTTGTGTTGAGCTCTTGTCGTCCAGTGCCATGTTCTACTGCCATGCATAGTTCCAGTTCCAGCAGATGAGCTTGGCTCAGCTCTGCCCTCTTCCGCCTCTTTCCCACCTTCCCCACCACACTTCCCCTGCTTGCCATTGTCTGCCTCATCATCATCACCATCATCGTTATTGTTGTCATTCTCCTTCAAGGGCACACAGTCAGGGAAGAGCAGCTTCATTCTGGTGTGGATCCAGCCAGTAACACGCTCATCCTCTTCAGGGATCATCTGGGCTTTGATCTTGGCTGCTGAAGGAGGTTGCTCATATGTTGGCTGAAGCCAATGCTGCCATGAGAACTCTGGCGGAGCAAGGCAACCTTGAGGGCATCCATCCACATCGACGTTAGCAGGCGCTTAAGGGGTATAGCAGTCAGCTTTCTTTTCTTTGGACATGCTGTGGTATTGTCAACAGAGTGGGCAGTGTGGGTAGAGTAGATGGTGGTTGTAGAAGAGGAAGGAGTGTGAGTGGATATGAAACAGTGTGTTGGTATTATAATTGATGGCCTTGTGTGTGGCGAGGTGAAAGAGACCAGTCATGTGACAGCATTCAGGCAGATGCATCTGGCCTGACAGCAGAGCCAAAGGTTCCCCTGAGTGCTCTTGGGTCATCACCCCTCAATGCCCTGCCTCCTCCTTCCCCTCACATCAACACACCTACATCCATCCAAAGTCACATATACATTGCCCTTGCTGCTTTTGAAAAACTGTTCTGTATTGCTCATACAACAGATTTAAACCCCTCAAGTCAATATTGATAAAATATTGACAGTAAGTCAGCCAGCTTCTGTTCAAAGATTTTCAACTTACAGTGTGGCAGGTCATGCCTCTTGTTGACGACAAGCCAATGGTTTACAAAATGGAAGATATAGCACCCATTGAAGCAGGTAAGTCTCATTTCTCCCACTTACTTATCCTTCAGCCACTGACAAGAGCATGATATGAAGGCGTGGAAGGGGAAACGGTGATCCACCAGGCAGAGGGCAGTGGACCGAGTCCCTTCAGGTCGTCGGAGCTGAACAGACCTCAGCTCTTGTGTCAGAAACCTGTAATACTCCCTGTCCCTTCGAGCCACTGTGATCGCACCAGCTTTGGCATGGTCACCAGCAGCAGCTCAGATGGTACTTCTAACGATCATGACTCCATGCTTAATGGAGGCTGTGCCTCTACCAAGCCTTCCACCTGTGTTGAGGCCGTCGAGCCTTCCACCTTCATTGGGGCACCACAAATCATCTTGACATCCCAGGGTACTGGCAACATCACCCAGTCTCCTTTGACTGACTCGCCTCCTCGCTCCCCTCACATCCTGCCCTCTCCCCCTGTCATGCCGGAGAAAGGTGGTGTGTGTGGGCGGTTTTCACCACGTGGTTTGGCCTTGCATCCACTGTGCCTTACCACCCATCACCCTCCTGTTACAGTCCCTTCGCTGCCTCCTCCTCCCAAATCTCCAGAACCTGGCCTGCCTGACACCCTCCCCAATGCACCTGTTTGCAATACAGCAAGAGTGGCTCTGGCTGATGACCTTGTCAATGATGTTGAGAGTGACAAGCTGACCACTCTCAATGTTGCTCCTGAACTGGACCTTGGCAGGAAATCTGCCTATCATGGCCCCAAAGGCATCTGCACAAGGAAGTACACTGGACCAGCCATTGTTTCTCCACAAACCCACATTTCCTCTGCTTACCACAGTCCCAATGGCATTTGATTGACCCAGTATACCAGACCATACATGGACGTCAGTGGCAACATTCAGCCTCCTGATGTTGCCCCTGCTATGATGGCGTGAGACTACATCAGTGTCATCACCACCAAGACTGAGGAGGCCATACACAGCATGTGTGCAGCCTGCAGAGAACTCAACTGCCGGTGTGTGGCTGCCTTCAAGAACTGGTTCTTCTGGCCCTTGGGAGCAAGCACTGGTCAACTCTTGTTGCCTCCTCCTGATGGTAACAATGCAGGGCAGTCTGATGCAGCGCAGTCAGCTGCAGATGCCATGGTCATGCCCAGAGACTTTACACCTGCATCTGGCAGCCATTGAAGGGCAGGCCTCTGCCTCACCCAATGGCCGCCCCATTGCACACTTCCTAGTTTTATCCCACCCCCAACTACTACTGGTGCTGGTACATTTCCATGCAAGAGGTGTTGACAGAAACTACTGTCCTGTCCTTACTCTGCTTTTTTGGCCTTTGCTGACCACTGTCCTTACAATGATTCTTCCCTCCACTGTGTTACCCCCTTCCTCCACATGCCCTTTCTCCTCCTTTTATGACATGCCTCTTTCCTTCTGGGTTGGTGACTCCTGTTGCTTGCCCAGAACTTATGTGCATGTGTCCCTTTTTCCCAGCTGCTATCAAAGATCACACAGATATGATTACTTTCTTTATCACTTTGCTCTTGCCTCTGTGTGCATGGCCATGGCCAGCTCAGTTCCTGTTCTCTCAGGTCATCCCAAGAGAAGACTACCTTGCTCTCATGCAGGGTGAGTACATGCTCTTTCCCCTTCCTCTTATTGCTCTGCTATATACATATGTGTCACACCTCTGTTGCAATAGCTTACTCCAATCTGTATCAATGCAATTCTGTACATGCAGCAGCCCATGTGTGTTACAGACACATAATGTACATTTCCTTGCAATTATGTTGCAGCATTAGGTCACAGTCATTGTATTGAGGGGAATTTGTGACTGCCATCTCACAATGAATCTATGATACCATTGTACTATACCTCTCCCTACCATTCATCTAATCACAGTTTTCATTCCTCTCTGGTGTAAAAATACACCTCTTGACCGGCACTGTTTTGAGCCTGTCAGGTGACTGTTCTTTCTCTATCTCCTCTTTGCCTGTTCCCTCCTCATCAACCTCTGGTGACATCTTCACAGACTCTACATTGCTGTCCTCATCCTCGCCCTCTTGGTCATATGTCATAGTTGACTCACGATCATCCACCTCGCCTCCAGTAGTAGTAGAGGGGTGGACATCCTCTTGGCTGGAATATTTGATCCCTTGGCGAGGTCAGGAGTGGTAGCAGTGACCATGTGGGGATTGTAGTGCAGCATTCACAAGTATGCTGGCCCAGCAATAGGTTGGTGATCCTGGTGCAGCTTGGCCTGTGCACTGCCATGCTCAGTCACAGATGAGCATCTTTGCATGTGTGCTGCTCATGCCTCTGCCACACCAGCTCAGTGTACATGCACCTTGAAGGCCTACACTCACGTCAGCATATTTGCACTGCAAGCAAATCAACTCACCATCTTAATATCCTGCTCTTCAAAGGTTCCTTTCAACTTGAGCAAACCTTGGTGAGAAAGTTGCACAGATATAATCATGGTGGTGGGTGCAAAGTGGGGAATGTGTCAGGGTCATAAACAGTCCCTGCTGATCACATGCTCGCCTGGTCTATCCTGCTTCATCTTCTATTATCCAGTCCACAGCATTGCACTTGATTCCCTCTATTTCACTGATGGCTAATATCGATGTGGGAATCTTGTTGACCAGGAATAAGTGGATCTGTAAGGCATGCGATTCAAGCCTTCACAGTAAGGACATGCAATGCCTGGCAGCACAATTGAAAACAGACAAACACAAATGTCAGTTGGAGTGATTCAAGGCAAAGCACACTGCTGAGCCAACAAGGCAATTCACCAACAACTGGGCTGATAAGGTGGTTCTTCCTCCAGGGGGAGAGTCTCTGGTCACACCTGTCGAATGGATTAACATGTCTCAGTGACTTGGTGAGCCAGACCTGCAAGACTTTGATTTCACATTGTGCAAACTGGAGGAAGCCACACCTATGCCTGTCAATCTTGTCCTGGGAGACTCCTTGCTTGATGATCAGCTGGATCAATACATCGATGATTTTGTGTTTGAGGGCCTGCTGAGTGGAGATGCCGACAATGCGCAGTTCAAGGACTGCAACTGGGCTTCTTCCATGCCTGGTACATCTTATCCACCTTGCTAAGTTGATTGGCAATGCCAACCAGCCCACCCCTCTACTACTAGGGACCTTATCCATTCAAGAATGGATGGATAGGATGTATGGCAATGTATGCAGCTCTAGCTGGTACCCATATCCCAACCAAGGCATACATATCTGATGGCTCTTTAGGAGCTTCACTCATCAGATCTCCAGCTGATGCTAACCAACATCCTCATCCATGCTCCTCCCCTTCGATTTTCTCAGTGCCAGCAATCAGCCATGTACTTCTGGGCATTGACCTTAGGGGCTTCCAATATCCCAACATTGCATGGGATGCAAGACTGGCAGGACTTGTCCACTGACACCCTCAGTAACCCAGAGAGGCAATTTGTATTGTTTATGGGAAATGTATACTATCTCAATGATATTTGTGGGGCTCTTTCTACTGTGAGTCTGTCTAATCCAACACAACCCCATAACCTATCTAACACCCATTGCAAAGGATTTTGCAAGCCCTTGCATAAGGCCCATGATGTGACACTACCCAATGTTAGACTTGAATTGTCTGTGGGAGTTCTGGCATGGCTCGCTATGGAGGGACACCATTCCTGATACTGCACTTACCCCAATGGTGGAGCATGAGGGACAACACTGGTTCATACAAGAGATTGTGAGGTGCAAGGGAGGACAATACTTCATTCCTATGTGTTGGGGATTTGTGGGATTGGAGGAGCAAGAGCTGGGTGCAATTGGATTGAGTGTGACAGAATCACATGTAAGTGGAAGATGCCAGGTAGGAGGCACCACCATGTCAAAATGTGAAGATGTGGGCTACACTCAGTTATTTCAGGTCAGTCTTCATAGCCTGCTGAGCAAGTCCAATGCTGATGTATCTGCCCAGCCAGGCAAGCCTTGAACAAAAGAACAAACAGTCAATCACATCCAGGAGATGATCGGCATGGCTGTGCAGCCCAATCGTGTAACAGCAACTGCTCTGTACAGCTCTGAGCATGGTATTCATGACACATTTGCCGACTTTGCAATCCAGGAGCTTCAAAAGGTAGGCAAAACTCTGCACAGGAGCCTTACATACAACCCCAACCAACAGCAAGTGACAATGAGTGATGCATGGCTGAGAATCAGTGCCCCCTTTGCTCTGAACCCTCTGCTGCAATTAAACTGTGAGCTTTCTTCCTAATAGAAAAGGTATGGATGTGCATGGGTCTGACACCACAGCAGACCTCGATGTTCACATTGCCACCCCAGTCAAAATTTTGCACACATTTTTGCTAGGCATAGTCAAGTACCTGTGGGGTGCTCTGATTGAACACCTTGAGGCAAAATCTGCTCAAGTGCCAGACCGACCCACACATCCCCTTGACACTGGAGGAGTAGCTCTGCTGGAGATGAGACTGGCATCTCTACATGAAAGTGGATGGAATGTACCCAAAATCAACACCACCTATATGATTCAATACTGCCAGCAACTCCTGGGGAAGCATTTCAAGACATTGGCCCAGTGCATGCCATTCATCATTGAGGACATAGTCACCTGGCAGATGCTTGAGGCTTGGGTTCTGGTTGGCATGATTGGGGTCATGTTATGGTTGTACAATGTGGTCAATAAGGTAGAATTTGAGGTGAGTGACATCTTTCTCCCCTATCACCCCACCCACTTCTACTACATCTACTTGCTCGTCTGTGTGATGATACCAGCCATGATATTCCTTCTCAGCACCATACTGACCCTCTATCACAGGCCCAGTTGCAGGCAATGATGACCATGCTTGTTCATGCAGATCTATCCCATCAAGATGATTAGCAAGATGAAGCTCCACATGGCCATACACACCATGGATGACTTCAAGTGGTTAGGACCAGCAGTTCTATACTCAACTGAATGGTACAAATCATTCAATTCTGTTTTCCAAGCTTGCTTGGTCCTCAGCAATTGGCAGTCTCTGAGTTGAGACATAGCCTGCATGTTTGCCCAATTTGCAAGAGTGAGGCACATCTTGACTGGGGGTTATTGGAAAGACTCAGCTACTGGGGACTGGAAGCAAGCCAGTCGAGATGTGCTGCAGATGATCAATGATAACAAGGTCATGCATGAGCTGCTTGGTCTCAAAGTTGAGGAGCAATCACAACCACGTGAGTAGCACCAACAACCCACCCCCATACTACTACTCTGACTATGGATACAGGTGTCAATGGGAAGGATGCCTCCAAAAGGCCATGCCGTTGGGTGGACACCAATGCATATGAGCTTGCAGAAGGTGTCCCATGAGAGTTGGATGATGAAGTGATGTTTGCCACCTGGCTGGTAGTGATGAATGGAGATCAAGCCAACATAGAAGTGTTTGTGGTGTGGAGGGACAGGGGAAGAGTATGTTTACTGTTGCATGTATGAAATGCCTCTGACGAGCCTGAACAGCAACTACAACTGGGACAAATTGAGAGCCTGTTATGGTGCACCAGTGACACTGGAGGAACCACAGGAATTGCAGTCTTGCAGGTCTTTGAGATCAGAGAAGACCATCCTAATCTGGCGTGTCTGCAGTTGATAAGATTGAGCAGAAAGTTGATGGTGGAGGCAAAGGTGAGCACATTCAACAAGCAGGAATGTGAAGTTGATGAAAGATGCACAGTGCATCTTGGCTTGCATCAATGTGCAGCATGATTGCAGCCTGGGAGGATGGTGTTGGAGTCAAGACTGTCGACCCCAACAACAAGAGTGCAAGTTTACTCAGGCAAAAACCATGTGAGTGCAACACTGAGACGACAATGTGTTCTTGCTCAACATATTTTACTTCCACAACAGTGCACTGATTCAAGAATTGCACAGTCAGAGGCAGCAAACACTGCTGTTCCATGCAGACCTTAATGCTCTCAGATGCAGTCTTGCAGAGTGCTTGAGAAAATCTTGACCAAGACAAGACAAGGTGGGTTGGGGGAAAAGGATATGCAAGTGACATTGCCAAGCAAGTATAGTAGAGGGGGTGGACTGGATGATGGAAGTCATCTGTGAGCTATCATTGTTATTTTCCAAATTCAGAATAATGAGCAGGCTGACATGATTTCCAATCAACTGACAATCTGTGGGCCTGGGAAGATGGGCCTGACCACACAGAAGCAAGCCACATGCCCAAACAGGGAGTAAAAAAGAGTGAGATCTTTTGCATGGAACTCCTTTGCAAGTCTCCCTCTCTGCTCCATCTCACTTGCTCTCTTCTACAGAGTATTCCCTGGAAGAACACTATGTTGACGGACTGGCTTAGTGCCATGTGACCCCTGCTGTCATGGCCAGCGGAGGAAGAATTGGCTGCACATTCTCAAGTGGCAACAGGTATGCCAGGCAAGGAGAACAGGGAGCAGTCTCCAGTGGCAGACAATGAAGATAATCATTGGCAAGAGCAGCAATGGTCCATGCAGGCCATGGCTGGATGAGAGAACAGGTGAGCACCCAAATCATAATAAGGATGGGAATCACTCACTGATGGCTGTGTAGGCCTGCCCAGACTCCATCATTGTCAAGTATGTGATCTTCAAGCATAAACTCATCCTGAGGGTTCTGGCTGGTCAAAGGCTGGTCAGACGTTGCTTGCCTTATTGGCCAGAAAAGAAAATTGACAGAAGAGGAGCTCAACAAGCTGCTTGACTATGCCACAGATGTGCATAATTGCCTTGACTTCCACCCCCCCTATACTGACTACTATCCCACCTTATGATGGATGATAGCCTGATCCGCAATCCAGGGAAATCAAGGCATATGCCAACACCATCATGGCTCGCAATGCCATGCAGGATGCAGCCAGGAGGCATGACAAAAATTGGAAAGTCCCCACCAGCTTCAGAGTGAGTGCCCATCATTGCTGATTTGCAGAACTTGATGGTAAGACTCAGGCTGAGTTGAAGAAGGACATGTACTTGTTGAGCCCCAAGTGCCCCTCATACGTCCAATCTGCATGTAACATTATGATGGCCAGTCTCCTTGTATCTGCATGTGCACTCCCAGGACTTATGCAAGCAGATCATAGGACCATTGCAGGTGGAGCCATGTGTGCATGCACCTCAAAGAAGAGTGGTTCAATGATGAGACAAAATGAGCCAAGATCTTTTCAATGATCTCAAGAACCCTAATGGACTGGAGGAATTTTGTCAAGAACAAGGTTTGTAGACATGTTCAGTGCATGATCAGCAAACTGACCTCCAATATGCAACACTTTTCACTATTACACTGGCCTTTACCATCTGCAACCCCACCCACAACTACTCTTTTCCATGCTGTCATGTGCTCCGTACCCACCCCCAACATATACATTGCAATGCATGATATACAGATGTAGTTGGAGAAGTATTTGATGTCAAACCTGGTTGTTGTACAGGCTAAATTCACCCTCAAACCATGGCTGTTTGACTATGACCTGTCACACTGGGTCTGATACACTTTTCTTGTGAGTGCAACTCCACTTGAGCAGCATAGGGGTTGCTAATGGCTGGGTTCAGTGAGAGATCATGAGGCAGCACTCCCAGCTCAGTGACACCACCATAACCAATGCCCAGGGAAAAGAAGAGAAAGTGCCTAAAGAATACTTTCTGTATGTAGATCACTGCATGAAGGCTGCGAAGGAGGAGCACGGAAAGGATCAAGTGACCTGGAGTGCATATGTGGCCTGCAACCCTATGACCTGTGACTCTTTACTGATGTGTTATACAGGTTCATGCATCTGTTCTTGCAGCAGGACCTTGAGACATATCCTGTAGGCAAATCAACCCCAAGCAACACCAATACACCAGGAGTCTGGAAATCAGCCTCTCAGATTGAAACAGCGGCAGCAGCAGCAGTGGAATTCAATAATTGTGAGAAGGGCATGGAATAGATCCCATGAGTGTTAGTAGTGGGGGGTGGGGTTGAAAGGGGGACATCCAAATCATGATTTGACTGTAATATGTGTATTATAGTATTACCTATTATCTGATTGACAATGATTGGGGTAAATATAATATCATGGTCAGTCACCCTATACAAACAGCATGGCCAAACGATGGGGAGGAAGGGTGAATGTGACCAGCATGGATGGTGTGGAGCACTGTTAGGGCAACACAGGCTGACTAAGTCTGCTCACCTAAGAGTGCCAAGAGTCTAAGCAGGCAACAAGGAAGTGGAGTAGACCTGATGACTAAGACCTATCTACAGTATAGGTACCTGTGGATGATCCTAAGAGACCAAGTCTGAAGAGACAGTCCCTGGGCAGAGTAGGCCTTATATTTATACCTCTGTGGTGGAACCTGCTAGAACATATTGCTTACTCAGCCTAGTCAGGTGGTCAGGTCATATGAGGTCATGCACAGCCATGCACAGCAGGTCACCTGACCATCCAATCCTTCCAGCAGGTTCCAGCACATGCCAAGGTATACCAGCTACTTCCATGTCATAAAGGCTTAGTCATGTCTCTTGACCAAGCAATGAGCTGGTGCCCTGACAAA